GCACCACATAAGCAAAAAGAAAAAAGCCGGAAGTGGTGCTGTGGCTCAAGTGGTAGGGCACTAGCCTTGAGCTGAAGAGCTGAGGGACAGTGCTCAGGCACAGAGTTCAGGCCCCACAACCGGACCAAAGAAAAAAAAACATTACATTGCTATTTTCCCTGCTGAAGCAGAATGCATTGTCAGGGTTTTCAAATAATTTTTCTTAGTTTACTGAAAATTCAAAATGCAAGTTATATTCCAGCATGGGAAATAGTTCCAAAAAACAATTTTAATACAAATATGCAATCAAAGAGAAATTTATTACAAATCAACCAATTAAAGCAACAGAAAAACATAGAAATTGCAATGGTTTGATTTTACAGATCTATATTTTTGTCATTATTTCCTGTCACATCTACTAAAAATCAGTAACAAAATTTTTCTTCTTCTATTTTTCAATATTAGTGTTGTAGCACAACAACAACAACAAAATCCAAATATTGGAATTTACCTAGTTGAAAACATAATTGAGATCTAAATTCAAATACTGCATGTAAGCTAAAAAAGTAAATTTGGATCTACTCATTTGTGAGAGCCTGAAAATCTGAGCTGTGAGGCCCGAAAGGATTGGGAGTTTGGAGTACCTTTTCCCAACATACTCTGAGAACACTGAGTGTTTCCTGAAAAGGCCAATCAGTCCTGCTTAACAGGAATTCAAATTTCTATCCTCACTGTAGGCTAACTCCACTCTAAACTGTGTGGGAGCCTGGGGGTAGACTAAGATTTATGGAAATTGTAAGCTGTTGATTGTTTGGCTCTCTTTTCCAGAATAAGAAGGTAATCTACCACTTGTATACAAAATATTGTCACCTGCTGAAGTTTGTATCTTACTTTCTGCACATGCTTCCCTATACAAGACCAATAAAAACCTTGGGCTCTGAAGCTGGCGGAAGGCTACAGGTCTCCTGGTACCTCAAACCTCAATTCCAGGGTCCAGTCTCTGTTATTGCCTTGTTCCCAGCAGCGGGGGAGGGGTGTGTTAAGAGGCAAATGGCAAGCTTCAACAATGAAGCTAAATAAAGTCTGATAACCAGGAATTGTCATCAAATAAATAAAACTTTTTTTTTTCAGTTGCGGGGGCTGAACTCGGCCTGGGCGCTTCAGCTCTTCAGCTCAAGGTGCCCTACCACTTGAGCCACAGCACTACTTATGGCTTTTTTCTCGAACTCAGGGCCTCATGCATGCAAGGCAAGCACTCTACCACTGAGCCACCTTCCCAGCCCCGACTTGTGGCTTTTATGTAGATCACTTGTGTTTCCTCCATCTCATCCCTTTGACTTTTTCCATCTTCTCTGTGCCTGTCTGTCTCCACATATGCATACATTCACACACAGTAGGGAGTATTTTTCAGACCAACCCATCCTTTAAATAGGGAATTTCCCCCCATTTTTCATTTTAAAAAATCATGCAGAAAAAAATGAACTATACAACTTGTGGATAGGAATGGGAGGGGAAAACTGGGACAGAGCAAAGGAAGGGGTGACATTGTCCAAAAAGAAATGTACTCTTGGGCTGGGAATGTGGCTTAGGGGTAAAGTGCTTGCCTTAGCATGCATGAAGCTCTGAGTTCCATTCCTCAGAACCACCTAAACAGAAAAGGTTGGAAGTGGTGCTGTAGCTCAAGTGGTAGAGTGCTAGCCTTGAGCAAATGAAGCTTAGGGACACTGCCCAGGCTCTGTGTTCAAGCCCCAGGACTGACCTCCCCCCCAAAAAAACCCCAAAAAAACTCTTTACTGACTGATGTAACTGTAACCCCTTTTTTACATCACCTTTATAATAATAGAAAATTTACATTAAAAAAAACAATGAAATGATGCAGAAGCCAGGCATAGTGGTGCACTTGTATATTTCCAGCTACTTAGGAGGTAAGAGGATCAAGAATTTTAGGGCCATCCCAAGCAAAAAGTTATCAAAACATGTCTCAAAAACAAAGTACAAACAAAAGGGCTAGGAGCATGGCTCATGAGTACACCAGTTGTGTGAGGCCTTGGGT